AGATCATGGTAGGCTTTTGGAGAAGTTAACATATTTTCCTTCAGTGTGTGTACTCTGGTGGATAGAAGAGCAATCACTGGGCACATATTTAAACACAGGAATGAATTATGCATTTCACATCCTAAAAGATCTCATAGCTTTATGAAAAAATGAGCTTGAAAGCTCAAAATCGCAATGCAACTTGGGAAATGCTTTACTGGTTTACATATCAATACACACGCTGTCTTTGGAAGCCAGGGGGCACAGTATTTGATGGCTCATAACTCCAATAGTTCCCTTCTACATGGAGAAGGCATGATAGCTGCTCTGGATCTGGATCATGAGATCGTTCACACTCATGCCAACCCACTGTGCTGAATGCAAGTTTTAAAAAGCCAATATTTCACATAGATAACTATTACTTTCAGCGAACTAGAATGCTCAGTGAAGTGGCCCTATTTCTGTTCCCAGCTAATGATGAACAGGTTCCTGCCTGTTCAAAAATCTCCAGATGCAGTCGTCTCCTAAGCAAAAGAATTGATCTGTGTTAGTCAATACATGTATGCCTTTGAGCAGTGAAAGAGAAGAGGCTATGTTTCTAATTGTGGGATTGAGTAGTGGTGTGCAGTGGAAGTAACGAAAGAGAAAAATGAACTGGGTAGCAAAAGGTAGTATCAGAGGGCAATATTTTTCCAGGTTTCTGGGTCCATGAGTACTAAAGAACAAATTATCTTGAAGGAATTTCAGGAAATGCAAAGGACACAAATAGAGAGATACATGGGGCTGTCCTATTGTGGAAAAACAACTTAACAAGGTGGTAATAATTTAGTATATATAGGAGCAGCTATATCACAAGAAATCACAGTCCATCACACTTGTTAACCTCATTTGCAGAGTATGCTCCCCATCCCAGTCCTCTAAGGAATGAAGTCCAAGCCCTCACTCTAATGTTGTGGAAAACTTCTAATGTTTAGAGTCTTTACTCATTTGAGTGCCAGACAGTCTATGTGTACCAAGTCATTATAATACTTTTGTGGATGCAAAGATTGGTGTCAATATGACCATTTTCCAATGAGGAAAGCTCAGAAATGTTATGAAACTTGCCAAAATCTTGACTGCTGACATGGAGCAGAACATAGATTCCAATCTGAATAGGATTGTTTCTAAAGCTAGCCTATTTCATGGTATTATTGGTGCCATTGCTGCTTTTCAAATATTACCAATGAGAAACCTGGGCTTTGAAGAAGTAATAATTTCATCAAGGTTGCTCCCACAGTAAGTGTTGTGCTGGCACACAAAACCAGATCTGCTGACTCCAGAACTTGTACTATGTTCACTAACCTCCACTGTCCAACTAACTTGGCCATCTTGAACATTTAGCTTTGTGGGTCCAATTTTCGCTGAAGTCGTGTGTGAGTCCACCTAAAAGTGAATCTCTACCTCCTCACCCATCTAAAGGACAGTCAAAATGAATTTTGCTTGTTCAAAAATCAAAGATGACTTCCACATAAACATCTCCAGCTCAAACCACCCTTCCCTAGCCTCGAGCAGGCATCAGGAGTATCTCTCACCAAAGCTGACTTTCTTTCAGTGACATTAACACCTGACCTTTCAATATTTAGTCAGGATGCAGGGCTAAATCTACACAACCGCCAATGCAGCTGAGGAAGAAAAGATAGGAAGCAAGGAAAAACTATTATGGCATCTTTATTTTCTTTCTTGCCAAAAACAATATGATATTGGTAAAGTAATACAATGAGTAAATGAATAAGGAAATCAGTCAATGAATGTATGAACAATCAGATGAGTTAATATATGGGTATGAAAATCTATGTATACTTAGAAGGAAATATAAGTCTATATGAATTAGTAAATGTGGAGACCAATTTTGGAATCAGATTGGATGCGTTGAGACTGAGGGTAAGTCTAAGAGATAGATACACACGACGTAGATGGGAAAAGTAATATCCATTTACTTCCATGTTTTAGTCTTTATCCTGCTGTCTCCCAAGAGAACAGTAATCAGAGGACACACAGCAGATTCAAAATGAAAGCCAACTCAGGGGCTGTAGGTTTCAAGCAATCATTTCTCCTGTCCCTCATACAGTCTTTGAAGCTAAGGTTTGTGATGTCAGTTATATATATCTTATGATCACACACACACACACACTGTGTGTGGTGGATTATCGTACTGGAGACAATGTATGTTAAATGTGCTAGTATAAAGCAGTAACACAACATTTACTGTGATAGATTAGATGGGGTTTTCCTTGTCTTCTTTGTATAAGCATTATGGACATTTCAAAACTGTCCACCTTTATTTCTCCCTCTACAACATTTCATTATTGATGAATAAGATTTTTGGTTATTTTATCAGCATTTATCTATACTGGTATGAATTACATTTTTAAAGTTTTCGGTTAATTGTTTTTGTAATATTATTATTTTTACCAACATGAATTATGTCTTATTTTTGTTTTTAAAGTCAGAGGCAAATAACATCAATTTGTTTAGACTTTATAGAAAATATAATCTTAAGTTGGATGAAGTGGCTCATGTCTATAATCCCAGCACTTTGGCAGATTTTTTGAGGCCAGGAGTTTAAGACCAGCCTGGACAATAAAATGAGAGCCCATCTCTAAAAAACTTTTTAAAAATTATCTGAGTGTGATGGCACACACCTGTGGTTCCAGCTACTTGGGAGTCTGAGGCAGGAGGATCTCTTGAGCTCAGATGGCCAAGGCTGCAGTGAGCCACGATCATGCCACTGTCCTCCAGCCTGGGCAACATAGCAAGCCCCTGTCTCTAAAAAATAAAATATAACTTTGCCTCAGTGAAACACTGGAGATGTGGGTTATCAGTGGACTGGTTTTAGGATATAGTCTTCAGACGAGTCGGAATGTTGGAGCACAGTTTAATTTTATGCTATATATTAGGCCATTCTTGCATTGCTAAATGGGAATACCTGAAACTGGGTAATTTAGAAAGAAAAGGGATTTAATTAATTGACTCACGGTTTTGCAGGCTATACAGGAAGCATGGTGACAGCATCTATCATCAGCTTCTGAGGAGGTCTCAGGGAGCTTACAGTTATGGTGGAAGGTGAAGTGGGAGCAGGCAGTTCAGATGGCAAGAGCAGGAGCAAGAGAGAGAGTGGATGGAAGGTGCCATGCACTTTAAACAACCAGATGTCACGAGAACTCACTCACCATCGCAAAGACGGCACCAAGTCATGAGGGATCCGCTCCCGTGGCCCAAACACCTCCCTCCAGGTCCCATCTCAACACTGGGGATTACAATTCAACTTGAGATTTGGTCAGGGACAAATACCCAAACCATATCATGCTGCAAGAAGTATTTTCTTTTATAGAATTGGAAAATCCTTTAGAGATAATTAAAATCATACTCTCTTTTTCTTCTGCTTCTAATATGTTGAAACTGAGGTTTAGAAATACGAAACGACATGTCCCAAGTTGTGTACCGAGCTAGAGAGGGAGAAAGGGCTAACAAAGGGCACCCAAGTGGCCTATTCTTTTCTCTTTTCAGCTCAGTCATGCCAACTACTGTGCTTGTGCTTCATAGCTTTGCTAATTAATAGTGGTGACTTTCAGTGTATGTGCTCATCATTACTGTCTCATAGATGTGCCTCAGGTCATTTCTTTACTTTCTGGACCTTAGTTTCTCCATTTGTAAGACTAAGAGGATGGGGAAGGAAGAAACCACATGATTTCTATGCTAGGTTCCTTTTCAGCTCTGAGAATTTATGAAGAGTAATGATGTAATTATGCAGGCAAGATTCTCAGATGACAAAAGCTTTTCAAGTCTTCCTATTTCCTCTTTTGCTGTATTTGAGAGGATGTTCAGAATTAAATTGCATGTCCAATTGCAGTAAATGTTTTAGCCTAGGTTATTACTACAGACTGTCTGATACATCCCAGATAGAGCCTTGCAACTTTGTATTTGTAGGTTGCTTTTCCGTATTACCAGTGCTACCAGGGTATTGCTCTCTTGTTTTTGTTGCAATTGTTGTTGTTTTCTTAACTGAATATAAAACTAAGCTTCAGAAAAGAGAAGGGAGCTGGGAATGTTGGCTCATGCCTGTGGTCCCAGCTACTTGGGAGGCTGAGGTGGGAGAATTACTTGAGCCCAGAAGTTTGAAGCTACAATGAGTTATGATTACACTACTGCACTCTAGCCCGGTCAACAGAGAGAGACCCTGTCTCTTTAAAAATATATAATATATTTAATAAAAGGAAGTGATTTATCCAAGCTTGTTGTTGGCAGATACAGATGTCCCAAGCTCTAATACCCAAATATCTCCCCTCTCTCACTGCCTTAACCTTCTTTCCCCTATTAGGCAAAGTATGTCCTTCCGCCATGATTCAAAGGTCCTCATCTCTGTGTTCTTTCATTGCAAATCTTCCCAAATATTTTTGGCAAAGAGAGGTAATATGGGGAATAAATACAAAACAAAACAAAACCCTACAATTAACTTCATTGCATACAGCGTGGATCACATAATCTCAACCTTGTTCTCTGAGAAAATGGTTCTCTGAAAACATGCTGGTGTTTCTCTTGTGAGGAAGTGTGTCAGTAGCTTTGGAGTCAGACATCCTTGGCTCAAGTCCCTGCTTAGTCACTTATTAACTGTGGGATTTGGGTGAACAGCCTAATTCTCATTCACATTTCCCTCATTTTTGACATAGCAAAATGAGGCAATTTTGACATAATTGCCTCCCCTCCAATTTAGGCATTGTCAATTTTAACTGAGATCATGGGATTAAATGCTTAGTGTAGAGCCTATGGGAAAAGGGTTCCACAAATGGAGCTCTTAAGATTACTGACCCCCATACTAGCTCTGCTGGAGCTCCACGGGGAACACAATTTCTCTGTCATACTCCCCATACAGTACCAGGGTGTTGATTAACATTGCATGCTGAGTGGCCCATCACACTGCTCACTTGCTCCATTTTTGACATTCCTTCTAACGTCTCTTGCTTTGTGTTGTGTTGTCTGGGCAGAGGACAAGATCTGGACGTCGGTGCAGCACAACAATACAGAGCTGACCCGAGTGCGGGGCGCCAACGCTGAGAAGCCCTATGCCATGGCCTTGGACTACGGGGGCAGCATGGAACAGCTGGAGGCCGTGATCGACGGGTCTGAGCACTGTGAGCAGGAGGTGGCCTACCACTGCAGGAGGTCCCGCCTGCTCAACACGCCGGGTAAGGCCTCTGCATGCATGACCACAGTGGGATAGATGGGACCCTCAGACCTGGAGTATTAGGCAAAGGAAAATTTGCTGAGAAGAGGGCTATAGTTACCAGTAGTCACTGTGCACTGGAGAGAAACACATCAGGAGGGGTCTGGTTATGTAGTTATCCTGGCTCTGAAATTCAGGATGGAAGCTAGAGTGAGTTCTGTCACCTCTCAAGGTTTTCTCCTCATCATAAAGAAAATGATTCCAGGCCGGGCGCGGTGGCTCAAGCCTGTAATCCCAGCACTTTGGGAGGCCGAGATGGGCGGATCACGAGGTCAGGAGATCGAGCCCATCCTGGCTAACACGGTGAAACCCCGTCTCTACTAAGAAATACAAAAAAAAATAGCCGGGCGAGGTGGCAGCGCCTGTAGTCCCAGCTACTCGGGAGGCTGAGGCCGGAGAATGGCGTGAACCCGGGAGGCGGAGCTTGCAGTGAGCTGAGATCGGGCCACTGCACTCCAGCCTGGGCGACAGTGCGAGACTCCGTCAAAAAAAAAAAAAAAAAAAAAAGATTCCAACACCCACCCTGCAACAGTTGTGAGAATGAAGAACATCTGAAGAGGAATGGGCCTCAAAGAGGGCATTTGAGCTTGACATAGAAAGTGTGGCCGTGGGAAATGCTAGTTTGGGGAGAGAGAATAGAGCTTGATTAGGCACCAGGATCTCAGCACACCCACCCAATAGGGACAAGTTTTGTCTGGGGTGAAGGGTGCCTGGATGCTTAAGTGGAGCAGCGTTAGGCAGGGAGGCCAGCAAGGCAGGCAGGGCAAGCCTCCCTGATCTAGGATCTTCAGGGAAGACGTCGTTCTACGTAAGCGAATTTTCCAGATAACTGTCACTTACCCTTTTAAGCACCAAAAATCTTTCCAAAGAATTTTTATCTATTTGAAATGAAAATCTTTCTCAAATGGATTACACACTTCCATGCCTTCTTAAACAGAGAATACTGAACATAAAATGTAACCTTTTCTTGATGACGCAGGATCAGCATTGTGAAAATCAATTATTGTACTCTCCTTAGATTCAGCCAGGCTTGCAGGTTTGATTAGATCAGAGGTACCGGTTCGTGTAGCTTTACCCAGCGTCCTCAGAGGGTGCTGCCCTGCTAGAGTCAATGTTTATATTTATGTGTATTTCTCTCTCCATAGCTGTCAAGCCTGCACATGCTACCTCAGCACTGTTCTCAAGGTGCCTGTCTCCAGAAATGCCCTTCCTTCTTTTCATTGTGTTGTTTCTAGTTTTTGAGGGGTTGGGTTTGGCAGAATTGTAGAACAAATGGGAGGGTATGTTCATTCTGACTATGGGACTTCCTTTAGCATATGCACTCTGAGATATCAATTTGGCTACACCATTGCCTTTGCAAATGTGTTCTTTTCCTAACTCAGCTGCCTCACAGTTTCTGGTCTCATTTGAATGGGAGGGCATGGGTTTGGCAGCAAGTCATGTTGGGACTAAGAGCTTGTTCCTGTCATTTACCAATTATATGCCCTTGCGCAAGTTGCTCAATTTCTACAGTTTCAATTTCGCCACCTGAAAAGTTTGCATGAAAATCTTGAACCCATGCAGTTGATCTGAGGATGGAAGAAAAAATTTAGTCTGAACTCCTTGTGCTATGCCTGGTACATAATAGGCATTCAACAAAAACTGGTGCCCTTATTCATAGCTTCCATTGCAGCAGGGAACATCCAAAATGTGTTCCATAATGGGAAACAAGCATAAAGGGAAATTTTATTTCTATTTGAACAATGTAAATAGAATAATTGTAATAATTATGTAGTAACAGAATTGATTAGAAAACTCATACACATAGATAATCTCATCCCCTGAAGATGACTACTTTAACATTCAGATGTGAATCCTTCCAGACATTCTTCCATGTGTATATTCTCAAAGGCACAAGGCAGACAGACCATATGTTTGTGCATGAGGGTCTTCATTAATCCTCTTTTCTCCCTGTGTTCTGGATCAAAAGGAGGGAGATAAAGGAGGATACTGGGTATGTAAGCTCAGTGTCTACTTTCTTCTGGTGAGCTGGCTTGGAGAATGTAGCATGAACCATTTTGTCCTCTTGGCTCCCACCTCCGGATCAGTCACCGCTTGTGGGGCAACAGAGCACTCATTTACCCAGATAGTCCCATAAAGCTGTGACCTAGCTTCACACTTTCACTGCCAGGACAGCAGCCACCTGGTCCCCCATGCATGTGAGCTTACCTTCTGGAAAAGCAGGAATGGGAAAAACAATAAACATTTGTATTCCCATGGATTCAACAGCCGGCGCCCAGGGCATACACCTACAGAAATGTTTTCCTGGTCCTTATTATTACTAAGCTACTCCACTCCCTTCCTAAGGGGAAGCCCAAGGACAGAAGCGGAGGAGGGTAGAGGCCATCTCCTCCTTACCTATCTAAGATTCTGGAAGAATTTTGTGCAAGTTTTTCCTTTATCAGATGAATCCTTGGTCTATGCTGGGAAGATTTCCGACCCTGTGATACTCTTTTACAACCTGTATTTGTCACACATGGGAAATGTACAAATATCTTTCTATATCCATAAATACAACTTCGTATCATCATTTTCATTAACTATAGAATATTTTGTTATATGGATGTACTCCAATGAACAAATCTCCTATTTGGACATGTAGATTGTTTCTACTTTTTTCCCGTTATTACACATAATGCTGAATAACAGTTTTGCACTTAGATCTTTGTGAACATAACTGATTATATCCTCAGGACAAATTCCTTGAGGTGCCATTTGCAGGGCAGCGAGTATGCATATATTTAAGACTCTTGCCGCATTGAATTCTGCAATGCATCAAAGTTGTACCAATTTATACTCCCAACAACACTATGAGTCTGAGTGCCCATTTCCCAGCAATAGCTACCATTATCTTCCTTCATCTTTGGCAATGTGGTAAGTGCAAAGGTGTGGAGTCAAAGATGATTATAAGTAGTTTTGTTGTTAATTTTTAAAACTGTGCAGCCTGATTTCCATAGCCTATTGGCTATTGCTAACTAGTAGCCAGGGCAAGTAGACACTATGAAAAATTATAAATTGTGGCTGCAGGTGCATTTAAATCAATATGAGAATGTGGGGGATGCCTTGTGGCCTTAGATTCTCCTATATACTATGCACAATAGTTAATAAATGGATACAATATAAGAAGGCAAAATGAAAGAAAATAAAGAAATATTTAAATGGTCAATAATGACTGAGATTTCTTATGTTTGAGGATATGTGTGGGGTGAGCTACTGGAATTATCTCTAACCCAGACAACAGATCTGCACCATAAGAGTCATTGTCCCCATCTGATATTTCAGGAAACAGAACCTCAGAGAGAATAAGATGCTTTTTTAATGCCACACACAGAGGGGCAGATCTAACTCTTGCAACCAACATCTCCTGAAGTCAGAGCAAAAATGCTATTTCTGGTACATCACAAAAGCTGCAAAGAGCCAAGAGTTACAAGGAAATGAAGGAGTCAGAAAAAACATGATTTTGTATAAATTTCCTTATTGTGCAGGAAAATGGAAGGAGAGAGAAGCGCACCCAGCACTGTCTCTGTGAAGGCCACAGAGTTGTCAGGGTTGCCTGAGCTGGGCACATTCTTGGGTAGCATCAGGGTTTGCATCATCCTGGCCTAGACACAGCAGCCTCCATGGCTCACACACCCCTTCACAGGAAGGCCTGTGTATCCCTACACAGCATCCCCAGAGCCTCCTTCTGCCTGCTCTCAGCTCCAGCAAGAGCTCTGATTCCATTCATTTAGCGGCAGCAGAGGGAGAAGTAGGAGACAGGCAGGATAAGGTCACGCATGGGTCACCACTGGGCCTTTTTCATTCATTTAGTGACTGAACCATGACACTGTCATTTTATGACAGTCTTCTTGGATATATTTGCCTCAGAACTACAGGTAAGTGCCCACCAATGGAATGCATCCTCCATCTCTCTAGCTGAAGTTTTATACTAGAAACTCTCTCCAATGTCTCACCAGGACATCCGTATCCTAGGGAAAGTGTCTTTGTGATTCTCATGGATCTTTGTCGTTCCCCTCACTCTGCTTGCTGCTTTCTACTCTGATCTTTCTGCAGGGCCAGAGGCCCTGTGCTACAGTGCAGCTTCCAGTACAGAGCCCAAGGTGGGAGAATCACTACAGTCTGCCAGTACTCACAGTACCTCGTCATGGGGGAGGAGGCGGCCACTTATCCCCACAGAAAAAGGCTTCCTTGGTTGAGCCCAGACCTTTTCTCTCTTGTCAGCACCTTCATAGGCATTTTGCCTGAGACTAGAGTCCTGAAGGTGACATGTGATGAGCACACGAAATGAAACAGGAGGACAGAAAAATAAATATCAAAGCCGTAATATGGAAGATTCTTTAATCACATGGCCAATTAGCTTGATAACCCATAACTTTCCCCTGGAAGGAGGACAAGATGGAGAGGGACATAGGCAAGTGACTGCATGGGGAAACTGAGTGCCCAGATCTCTGCTGGGAATGGGCATTGGAAGGCCTGCCTATCCCACAATTCTTTTGCAATAGTCTCTATGGTGCCTTGAAAGTCCCCCACTGGATTCAGTCATTGGGGTGTCAGTATCCAGTGTAGGCATCCTCTTGAACTCAGCACTCCATGTAATGCAAGTCTATTTGTGGAAACCCTTTTCAGTAAAGCCGTGAGCTCTCGCAGGCAGAGGTAAGAAGTCAGTATTGAAACATGTGAAAGCACTGGAAATTCAAGACTCCGTTACTTCAAAATCTAACGGCTGTAGGACAGCCTGGTCTGGAATTTACTTTGTTTTTTCGGAACAGAAAGCATTTGCGGAGCAAATCAGACATGCAAGCAAGATTGCCGTGAGGATTGTGTAAGTTCTTCAGGAGCCCTAAGAATCCAGAGCCCTACAGCACCACAGAACCTCTGTTTACCTACCAGTAATGTGCTGGTTAAAAGTCATTCCTATTAATT